GTCTGTGTCCGTGAGGTCGTGTCACGATTCGAAGCACGCGCATTAAATAATTCTTCTATTTAGTTTGACGCGATACAAGCTTCCTCGTATTTGTTCGTTCGATTAATGATATATTATACTAGAAATAAAAGTGGTAACTACAATACATTTAAACATTTCCGTTTGTTTAAAAAAATCGTACCCAAATTATAATGTTAGACAATACTACGATAAGACAATTGAAAGCTATTATACACCCTTAAAAACAAATATCACAAGATAATATCTAATTTATAAGAAAACTTTGTAAATTAAGATTTTTAGAGGCATAATTTCCATAATTTATAAAACAAAAAAAAACAACACTTAGGATTCCGAGGGGTATGGCTGTAAAAATTTAAAGTCACGCACAAAAGTAATTTATCATAGTGATTGTTGTCGGCATCTGGGTGCGGGAATAAATCGCGGAGTTTTAGCGTTAACGGCTCAGTCCAACGGGTGCCCGCTGAAACGGTCAGGTAATAACTCCAATCCGTACAGGAAGTACGACTTCGAAACGGGAAAACTTGGTCACATTACCTTTTAATTCGGGCCCGTCAGTCGGACAAATAAGTTGTCGTCGCGAAGGATTCCGCCCAAACAGCGCAAACTTGTGTCGAGACAGACTAAATTGACGCGAGAGATTGCCGCCCTCCGTCGCTGTTTCAAAGCAATGAGATACGAATTTCTCATTAAAATTTTCAGAGCGAAAGTCGGATTCCCGTTGCCCCATTCAATTCCGCCTTTTGAAACGGAATCACAAGTTTTAACGAATTACTTTGACAATAACGTATTCGATATAAAAGAAGAGATGGGTTAAATTGCTTCATTATGAGTTTTGTTCAAGTTTGCTGGAAGTAAAGAGATCTTTGATGTATTTTACTTACCAAACTTCCACACGTTTGATATGTATATGGTCTGCATTTATTATTTTGTATGGGCTCTGCTTTTGACATTACAAATCACACCACCAAATTGCACGATCGAGAAACGATATACATATTTAAAATAAAAAAGAGAGAATGATAATCGAACCCGCGACCCAAAGCTCAATAGTTAGGGGCGCTAACTTAGTGTTACACCATTGTTCAAAAATAATACCGGCGACAAAACAAAATACCTACGCGTCGAAAAAGATTCTAGAATTTTTTCTTCGCAAAACTGTCTCCATTAAGTACCGATAAAGTTATATGGATCCACTGGCTCTCCAGGTAAACAGCTCAATTTCACTTTACCTTGTATTATGCTAATCAACTCCGTGACTTTACGAATAGAATTAAATTTCGCTGCCGTTTAGAAGTTCGTTTTTCTTTGTTTATTCAAATAGGTCCCGCCGATTAATTTCGGGAACTCATTCTCAGTTTCATTGAAAATAACGAGTTTAATTAACAACTTTTGTTCTGACATTCGGGAAATTTTAATATCACAAACTTAGTCTTGAAAGATTTTTGAGATTTGAATGCCGTACAATTATTTCATTTGATTCACGGATTAAAATATAAGCACTGCAAATGAGAGAAATAAAGATAGATATAATTAAAATAAGATTGTTTTTCATACTATTGCATTGATAATCCAATCCGTTCTTTAACAAAGAAAGTGAATAATTTCTAACATGATTTAGATTGTTGTTTTTTGGTCTGAAACACTCGGTGAGTGGTCACCGTGAAAATCAAAATTGTCAGGAGCACAGCTTATGAATATATATTAACTAACAAACTAGTATTACTACTAACTACTTTACAATTTTTTAAACTATTTTATATTTATAGGCAATTATGGAACCCAGAATATATTTAAATATCATATATTTATTTATGTGGCATTTCTTGATCATCATCCTCAAAAGAAAAAACTCAAAATATATCAAGATATAAAAAGTCATAAGTAATCTAATCTTAATTAATATCATTATATTTAAATAAGTTGGAGGATCCAAATTTTGACAAAAAAACATTATTTAAAAAAGAAACTTAACGGTCATTGTCCGAACGACAATTTATCTTAAACGAATTAACGTTTTTTTTCTTCTTTTTATATTAAATACGTCAAGTGTCTTTAAGTTTCAAATGCCGTGGTTTCACGAGAGGTCAACAAACACTCTCTCCGTGACCTTTTGATCTCACGTAATCGGATACTACAAAGTTAACATAAACCTACGTAATACTCTTTGTAATTTGCATAGATGGACCGTCAAGCTCACGGCACATCACTCGATACATCTGTACCTAGTCTTGCCATAAATACTGAGACAAAGGAAAAACAAAAATTCCATTGCAAATAACATTTACTACTTTTAGAGTGTGTTAGTTTAATACATAAATATAAAACAATTTAAAGTATGAAAAGCTTATTCGAAGTGGTCTCCATTGACTGCAATACAGTCCTTTGAACGTTGAGGCCAGCTATCAATAGAAGCACGCACTCTTTCCATGGGAAAATTTTTCACTGCCAATCGTACAGATTGTTTTAGGGACTCCAAATTATCATGGCGTTTAGAGCAAGCCGTACTCTCTAAAACTGACCATAAATCACAATCCAGCGGATTAAGATCGGGACTAGACGACGGCCAGTCTTCAGCTCTGATGAAGTCCGAAACGTTCGTTTCCAACCAAGACCGAGCTTTATGACCTGGCGCCGAGTCTTGCTGGAAGGACCATTCTTGATTATTGAACATGGTGTTATTAAGGGGCTTCACTACCTTCTCAAGAATGGTATCTTGATACTTGTGCCGATGTTTTCATACCTTTTTCACAAAAGTGTGGCTCAGTCACTCCTTCATAGCTAATACCCCACCAAACCATCACTGAAGTCGGATAGTGTCCACGTTGCACTCTGTTGACTAATTGGGAAGCTTCCTTAGAGCTTTGAGCATAAATACGGTCATTTTGTTTGTTAAAATGTTGCTCAATTGTAAAAAAATTCTCATCCGTAAACAAAAAATTTCTAAGACCTCCCTTTGTCTACCGCTTCAGTAGTTGTTTCGATTTTACCACCCTATTCTCTTTTAAATTATCAGTTAAGAAATGACCAGTACATCTCTTATAGGCTGCAAGTCCTAAGTCATCTTTTAAAATAGGCGACATGGTTCTAAATGCTATCTTCATCTCCCGAGATAAAATCTTTTGCTTTCGGACAGGATTTCTTCGATTTCTTTCCCTTACTACTTTGACCACCTTTTTCGTACGAACACTACGTGGACGGCCAGATCTTTTTCTGTCACAAATAGAGGAGGTCTCATTGCACCTATTAATTAGCCCGGTACACAAACATTTTACTAATACCAAGCGTATAGAGAGTTTTAAAAATTGCATTTGGCTCCATACCTACTTTGTGTAATGCAATCACAGCGATTCGGTTCTCTTTATCACCTCACTCCATTTTAATATCGCAAAATATTGTACAATGTACTGGCGCCAAAATGAGAAAACTCAATGAGCAATCATATAAAACTAACAGATTCCAAATTCAAATATAATATTTTGTTTATTTTTACAGTATTTATAACAGTATTTATGGCCAGACTAAGTACATTACAAATACGCTAAAATACAACAGTTGAATAACATTTTCTCTTCTGTCAACCGATTTACAGTTACCTGCAGAGTCACTATTCGCGAGCCGAAATTTAAACTTCTCTTACGATTTTATATCGCGTTTTTTATTGTCATTAAATTGTTGAACACGTACGAATCGTCCGTGATTAGATTTTCAGTTTATTATTAAAATTAGTTATTTCGGATGTGAAGTCGAAATGTCAGCTGGATTTCATAACAGTGATCACGTTCTTCAAGCCGATACAAATAATTGATTTGCGGCATTGTGGAGACACTCACTACTGTGGTCTCAGATATATCCTGCTACCAGTAAATGCCAGATGGCGATCGCATTGTACTGATAAATACTAAAAAACACTGTTACCCATTCTCTGAACGTTTACAACACCCACAGGAAAAGGTGGGGTGGTGCTATACAAATCCCCTTCTACTAATAACAAATAATTAGCAGTGTTTATCTGCTTGTTTCGGATGTCATGAAAGTAACTGTTTGAGACCGGAAAATTATGTTTAGCTTAATCATTAATGTAAGTTCGCATAATTTTGTATAATAAGCAACTTAGCTGATAATAACGTGTAATAAGATAACTCATTAATTTCATATTTCTAAAGGTTTTAAAATAAATTTGCTTTGACACTTTAATATGCTGTTTGAAGAAAATTTTGCTAATAAATCTTAGAATTTAAATTAATATTAAATTACGGACATTCTTTTCATCTTTGTTACTTGTTTCGGATTATTTTCTAAGACATTTAACTTACAATTGTATGCATTTCCATAAACATGACTAATGTTACAATGTGTATGTCAATGTTAGATACAATGTGAGTAACGAAATAATTAAATAGTCTCTTGATAGGTATTCGAATTAAAAACATCACATTTTAAGAAAATAATAATCTTTATAGTTTTTGTTAAATATATTGTCATAGCACCGCATGTCGTTACTATAAATTATTGTCATGTACTGCACGATCTGAATTAATTATAACTATTTTAATGTTCTCATTTAAGTGAATTTATGTAATTCTTTTGAGAATAAAGAATATCTTTAACCCGAAAAACCAAAGGATCCAGGATTAACATGAAGAAACTCTACGTCATTTAAATGAAGACGTAATCATTTTAAAGCGATTAATGAATAAACCAATAAAGAAACAGATTCATAATACCTCAAAGGGTTGACAGGGGGTTCTTTTGGGGGATCAAATGGATTTTTAAAATGTCCTTTTGTGAAGGATTTCGTACTCCTCGATAAGAAATTGGATTAGGAATTTAATTATCTGACAAAGCTGTGAAAGCAATTACAATCATTTATATAAATAGTCGTCGACGACTTTATTCGGGGATCGAATGATTTATTTTTATTTGATTACATTGAAATTGGAATCTAGTAATGAAAAAAAATGTTTTTTTCTTCACAGGTAGCGTTCGCAGTGTAGATTTTCTGGTGAGTACTTTACTGTGTACGGTTATTGCGACCATGATGATGACCACGACCCGTGGCGGGTGAGTAGTTTTAACTAACGAAGTACCAGATTAGACAACAATCACAGCGTGACTACATTTCTGCAAAACTGCATATTTGTATGCGTTTTGGTTTAAATTCTACGCGTTTGGTTATCGGTTTCACAGATATCGTCAAACTAAAACGCGCACGCGACTCATTAGTTATAGTTATAAACATCAAAAGTGGTAGGACCTCTTGTGAGTCCGCACGGGTAGGTACCACCACCCTGTCTATTTCTGCCGTGAAACAGTAATTCGTTTCGGTTTGAAGGGTGGGGCAGCCGTTGTAACTATACTGAGACCTTAGAACTTTATCTCAAGGTGGGTGGCGCGTTTACGTTGTAGATGTCTATGGGCTCCGGTAACCACTTAACAACCAGGTGGGCTGTGAGATCATCCATCCATCTAAGCAATAAAAAAATAAAATAAAATAAAAGCAATAATAAAAAATACAATTTTATCGTGAACCATACATACTAGATGAGATCGTCACCCTCAAACATAGCCTTGCAGCTTAGTTTAACCATACTGTAAATTGGTGCTACTATATTGGACTCTATAATAAAATCTAGCAACTTATTTTTATAAATACCAGAAAACCGAAACCTATTACCTCAATCCACAAAGATCGGCCCCATTTAGATTAACCGTCATGTCTTATTTAATTTGGCACGATCCGCATCGGAAACTATCGACCCTACGGCGCCGGCGGACGGCGGAAATCAAACTAATCGATTTTCATTTTGCCGACAGGAAATTAAATCCTTTGAGTCGTTCTCGATAACGGATTTCAACTAAGCACGACACGTGCTCACGAAGCGAAGGCACATATTTAAAATTAAGACCCAATCTGTTATTGCAGTAGGTACTTCTGTAATTGATTTAGAAGCTTAATCATTGAGAACAGTATAAGTGTTCAAGACTCGGTGTTTTTTTTTTTTTAAATCTGTTTCATACACTCAGTAGATTTAAACAGTTGTTGCAGTACACTATTTCAACGTAATCTAAAATTCAGAAAAACGTGAATGACATTTGGAGTATTAACTAGAGAAAGACAAACAAACCCTTACCAAAAATTTAATGTGACAGTATATTTACTACGTAAGTTTCATACCCGATCCTGTAGACCGAATGGTAAACAGTCGACATCACCCTAAACACGTCATTACGGATCCTCCCGATCCATTAACGGTGCTACCACAAGCGCCGGTCACCGTCCTCGTCAAACCCGTCGCTTGCCCTCGCGACACAGAGCTCGACGAGTGAATTAACCCATAGACACAACCCACTGAGTTTCTCGCTGAGTATTTTCAATGGATCGCGTTTCCGATTCGGTGGTAGAATCTGCGAAGCACTGCTCTTGCTAGGGCCAGTGCTAGCAACACTTCCGGCTTAAGCCCCGTGAGCTTACCCACATATTAGGGTTAAGCTGAAATAGCCTCTCAAGGCTATCAGCATAGGTAGGGAAAAAAAATACGCAAGCAAACTTCACAATGATTTTCGTTTGTATCGTCAAAATAACCAAATAGCGACAAAAAAAACACAAAAGTTCGAAGTAAAAAATTCTAAGCATATTTGTTTCTGTGACCTCATAATTCTTAATCTCCATCAATCACTTAGTCGTTGAACGACAAAAACTTCACAACTTTTTTGTTAATGTTTGCCGAATTTGGTAGCCTCTATTCATAAGATCAATAACGCAAAGATTTCATGAAAATTAGTTTGATCTTTGTTCGTGTTTCAAAAAGCTATAACAAAATTTGCAATGTTACAAAATTGTTAGGTTAGACCTTTGCCGCGGTCTGTTTGCCATCAATACTTTCAATCACTTGAGATTTCAATTTTATCGCGTTTCGTGGGCTTATTTTATTATTAGATTTATTTATAATTGTTAAACGGATTTTAAAAAGTTTTCATGTAATTCAATTACCAGCCAAGGCTATGATAACAATAATATGGAATTTGTGACGTAACAAAATTACGAGAATAATTTGAATGCGCGCTTCCATACGTATCTTATCTATTATTTCTTTCTTTGTTGTTTTTTGATTTTGTTATAGTACTAAGGATCTTGACCGTCACGATTAATGGCTTGATCTATCTAATCATAAATAAGAAAACATCCTAACGTCGGATATAAGTCAGAATATATGATTATGTTTAGTAATTCATCTATACACTAATTTATTAATTATTGGAAGTGCTTACCGAGTTTTTTGTTATTAAATTTGTAATACATAATTAATGAAACTCGACGCATTAACCCGTAAAGATTTGCTCTTATTTTCACTATATACACACTATAGGCATACAATATATTCGGCGTTGGTAGGGTAATATAATTTATCAAGAGATAAAGTGTTCTATATCTCTATTCAGTTTGCTAAGTGTTTTTAAAAGAAATTGCATCCTAATCCGTTTGCCATTTTTGCGTGATTAAGTTTCTTCATACATTCAAATATAATACAAATCTTCACTTTTATCATATTAAAATATATATCTAACTCTCATGATCTTTTGATATTCCGCAACGTGAAGAAATTTATTGAAGTATTAGAATTCTAAGCATCTGGAGTTCAAAGTTTAAAATTAGCAAGTACCGTAGCTACTTTTCCTTATGTCTATAAATAATTTCGTATATTATATTACGAGTATAATAGAGCAGAATTGATGTCAAAAATATTGTTGTACGTAATAGAACCAACAATATATTACCCGAAGCTTTTTTTTGGTAAAAATCAAAGCATATTTCTGCAAAATATGGACTGGAAATTTTAATATTTTCAATAAATTATATTTACGATGCAGAGAAATTTCCCATCTCAACTGTGCTCAGCCCTTTCATGTTTGAAATACCGCATCCAAGAAATATGTTTATTTTAGACATTGTTCGTATGTTTTCTACAAATTTATTTAGGTAATTCACAGATCATTTTTTTAATATAAATCGTTTAATATAATTAGTAATACATAGCCTACGATAAAAACAAGTTTATTAGAGTATTAAGATTTATAAAGTTACCAAATTAATGTATATTACTATTATTCATTATTATTCTTATTTCTCATATTATTACCTCTCATATTATTATTCTTATATTAATACGTGAAGCAAAAACTTTGTACCCCTTTTTACGAAAATTGTGCGGACGGAGGATTATGAAATTTCTCACACTTATAGAGAATATAGAGAAGGAGTGCACAACGCTAAATTTTTTTTAAAATAATGCATAAAAGATACTTTACATCAATAAAGAAAACATTACACACCCTACCATGTATTTGACACAACACATATATAAAAATATACTCTTTGTTTACTGTCAATTGGGAAACTTTTGTTATTGTTTAAAGTCTGTAGTTGAATTGAAAATAGATTAATGTGGTTTGTCTTTAATATTATTGATCTATAGTGTAGTTTTGGCGAATACTGTGATTATATTATCGAAATATAATAGTGTTTGACAATAGAACCATAATAATGTTTAAACTTATAATTTCAATTAACTATAGTCGAATTTCGACTACTGCGGGGCCACTAGTTATTCTTATTTTGTCTCCCGTCGGTACATAATATGCAATTTAAAAACTTTGTTTCAATTATGTTATTTTTCATAGACTCTTGTGCTCTCCACTTCATCTTCATCTTATATCATCATCATCATCAGCCTTTATCTGCCCACTGCTGGACGTAGGCCTTCCCCAATGCCTTCCACATAATGCGGTCCTGTATCTTTGTACATAAAAATCCGAGATTACACTCATATTAACGTTGCTTACAAACGTTATTCCATCTGGTATGACATACACAAGAGTGGCGTTCGATTTGTCCGCGGCCGGGCGGCTTCCCACGGGAAATTAAGAAACGAGATACCACTGACCGCGACTACGAAGGAGCCAATTCACTAGGATACCCATATCTGTTTTCCATTATAGGACTTTACTGTTTTTATGATCGTACGTTCGTATGTGCTAAATATGTTCGGTTCGCACACTGTAATGTTTGCTGTAGATTTTTGACGTGATACTCGATCGCTGAGTGTCGATAATGAACATGAATTTGCTAATGAAATTTTTGTTTTTATGTACTTAATACGCCTCCTGATCATTTTCTTGAAGGATTTTTAAACATTTTATTTTATTACTTAATAATAATCTCCACAAATATTCTTAAAATCAGCTAAGTATTCAATTAATTTACGCATTATGTGTTATAAAAGTTTCGGTTAAGGTTACATATCCAAGGTAATTGAACGAATATTTTCTGTCGTACGACGGATAAAAGAACGCTTAGAGCAGATTAATAAAGGCGCAAAAACGGAAAATATTAATGTGCACATTATTTATATTACAGAAAAACTATTAACATACAATTAACTTGCTTAAATTCCTCCAAAGTACCAGCATGAGAACGGTTAACCACAAAGTATCACATAGCCGCATAACTAGAATGCAGTAAAACGTCAAATTAAAAACACATTAGCACATAAACGATGTGCTAACTGAATAAGGTTGCATCGGTCTTTTTAATGTTGCAAAACTGTATTTTTGGGTGAGTACATGTTAATAGATTTATTTTTAGCAGAACATTTTTAAATTAACTCTAAACTTGCCTGACCTAGACTGACCTAGATTAGTAGGTTGTAAATGAATATGATATAAATGGGATATTTAAAAATGGTGATGATGAATGAGGATGATATAATAATTTAAATTATGTCAGACTTCTTATTAGAAGTATATATTTCACTATTTTCCGATATAAAATCGATTACATGGAAGCTATTTTTTAGCGAAAAGGCCGACTCTTGTGCAAATTATACCTGCCTATCGACGTTTAAATTGTGTTTTCGTGTGAAATAATAATAATAATAACAAGCCCATTTTATTTCCAAAAACAAACAAAAAAACACCTTAATAAATAAAAAATTACAAAATTAA